TGATCAAGTTTGTATCCTTGTCCTGGTTGCTGTTTTCTACCTACCTAACCTGTGTTTGTAGTAGCCATGACAGCATTGTGTCTGTCATACACAGATTGGACCAGTTCGATAGGAAACTACTTGACAACAAGATGTATGTCCTGGACATCATTGATGGTGCAAAGACATCACTGAGAGCTGAGTTAAAGGAAATCATGCTGGATCAAGTGAGAGAAGCCATGGCCGAGATTCTACAAGGAGAGTCTCTTCAAGACATGGTGAAAAGTCAGGTTGTCTCTGAATTGCGGCATCTAAAACAGGGCTACCATCAGATGAAAAGGCAGATGCATCATGTCTCAAGATCACTCAAAGACTTCCAGGACGAGACGGCCGCATTTCATGATTCTGTCCTGGAGAAGGCAAATGTGTGGAATCGAGAGAACTCAAGTGACGTCTGTGTCAGAGATAAACATACACTGGAAATAGAACTACATACGTGTGATGTTTATGCTGCTCATCTCAAGGCTGATAATGAGCGGTTTGTAGAATTAAATGAGACATATCAGTCCAAAATATCACAACTGAAAACAGATCTTGTTGTGTGTGCATCTTCCCAAGAAACTAAAAATGCTAACTGTACATCCATGACACCCGTGTCGACAACGTCAGTGACTACACCTACTCCAGAGGAGGACTACAGTAGGATCCTGATTGCTCCACTTTGGTCGGGCACCCTGCATCAGTTCCGTCAGCTCAACATTCACAGTAACTCCCTTAGCGTCTATCAGTATCTCACCATGAAGAATGTTGATACCGTTGCCTATATAGCGAAGACAAGGAAACTTCTGATTGGGTCATATAGTCCCTATAGGATATCTGCATCTACCCTGGATACACGTGAGGTGACGGTACTAAGGGAAGGTGTACGGGCATTAGGCATGGCAGTGGATGAAGGGCGGGGCATTGTATTCGTAGCCACAAATGTACCACAAAAGTCAATCTGCCGTATGTCTACAAAGGGGAAAGACTTTACTGCCATCATTGACTTATCCAAGTACGGAAGCTATCCAAGGCAACTTACTCTTGACACAAGGAGAAAGAGGATATATGGGTGTAATTACGGGAAACTGTTCACAGTGACATATGATGGTCAAGATATGGCAACATTAGCCACAGGAAGTGGCATGTATGCTGTAACCCTAGATCAGACAGCTGGTGTGTTGTATTATAACAATGAGAAGAAACTGATGAAGATGACCGTGTCCAATAATGTGAGTACAGAGGTGACCACACTGAACGCTCTCCCCTACAACATGATACTGTACAGAGGCACCATCTACTACGGCGGCTACAGTTCTTCTACTGTCGGTGCAGTTAATGTGACATACAACACTGTAGCATACACTCTCCAGTCAATAAGCATGGACGGGGTTCATACTTTACATCTGTGTTTGATTCCCTGAATTCTATCATGCCTGTTTCCAACACATGAATATTCGAACTTCCGTTCATATGTCAATTATACATCTTTAATATATTGGATTCGTTTCATTTGAGGTTGGAAATAATGTTAATATAACAGTTTTTTATTCTAATTCTTAATAGACACGCATTACCACTTCTGTAGAACATCGGGTGTCATTCCAATAAATGATAAATCGTGTCACCATTAACATCTTAAATTTAAGATAATAAATTTAACTGAATTATGTATTTGAATTTAATTTCAAAGTTAAATGACAGAGGCTCTTTTGAAAAAAAGCAAAAGGACGGATTTTTTTCCTCTAACTTTGAAAATATATCTTGGATTTTGTTTCAGCGAATAATTATTCTCCGGCGTTGGCGTTTTAAACAGATTGTGTAATCATAAAATATAGTTCAATTTTTGTTCCTTCTCTGATATTTTAGAAACTTTAGGTGTAAAGAAGTCTTTAAAGGAGACATCTTTTCGTCAATCACTGCGTGGGTCTTTGTAAATATTAGTTGTTGTATCACACATTGTGTCACATGTCAACATTTTGTGTATTCTAGAAACAATGTATTGGATATCTTAGTTACTGCTTGACCGTTACTTAAGACATAAAATATGTCCAGCCATCATCTGTTGTCTATTGCATGATGGTCCGGCCCCGAATTGTTAAAGATACATTTGGAGCTCACGAGGGCTTCATCTAGTACAACAGATGGTGCCAAGACACATTCATTTTGATTCTATCATTATATCTATTGCCTTATAATCAGTGATCAGTTTAGTTAACCTACTGTCAATAAGACTCTTTTTTATATTAAATACGATTTAAGTTGACGTATTTGTTAATTTATTTTGACACAAGACAATAAATGAATAACTGACATCATAACATAGAGTGGAGTAACCTGTGCCTCAAAAGTCCCAACAACTGTGGTGAGTGAGTGAGGTTTAACACCGCTTTTAACAGTATTCCAGCTATATCACGGCGTGTCACCTTGATCTGGGACGTCATTTTATCGTTTAAACGATCCATAATTTTTCAGGAATGGAGAGTTGTTTGTCAATATGACATTAATTAAACCTCTCAATTAACTTGCACTTAGAATTGATGGAACTATGCTTTAATTATTTTGACAAGTGAATAATTGCAAATATTGTCGGAAGACATGCGTCACCAGCGGGGTTCGAACCCGCATCGTTTGATTTGAGGACGTGTTATTGTCTACCTCAGCAACACATGAAGGGTAAATATTCCATAATTATGCTTAATGCTTACAAGTTAAAAATATAATATGCAGCCAATTGCGGCGCCTTAGACGACTGGGCCACCGTACCCATGGTTACTATGGAAGACATCGAGTAACTACTGCATCATATGAACTACTTTAAAAATAAAGTTAGTGCGTTTTGAGAATTGCATCATAAGACTATTTTACGAGCTATTCAACACTACTTCACTTTCGTTAAAGCTTCACACACACATTAAGGGATAAGTCTGCTCAAACGGCACATTTCACTTTGTCCACTTGGCCTGGCGTATGTGGGCATCTCGTGGTGCGTGCAGCTCCAGCGACATGACGTATAAAGTGTATTGTTTGGAATAAAGTGTATTGTTTGGAGAACATTATTGGGATATTATAGTACTGACCATGGCCACAAAGGACAAACATCTATTTGGCTATCTTACGGCGTGCAAAAGATCGACTCTGGTCCAGACAATCCAGAAACTGATATTACGAGCAACGCCCCGTAAGATACCATGACATCCATCCTGCGAGCCCGACCAATCGATCCATTTGGTCCCCCCTTACGACAAGCCTGGGCTACTGGGACTGCCTCCGTGGTCTGAGGTAGCAATATTCCAACTATATGACGGAATTCTGTATATATTCGAGACTTGACCACTCATTCAAGCGATTGACATCATGAGCATCCATCCACACAATTGGGATACGATGACATGCATCAACCATGTCAGCCTGACAACCTGATCCCGTTAGTCTCCTCTTACGACAAGCATGGTCGCCTTTTATGACAAGCATTGGTTGCTGAAGACCTATTCTACCCCGGATCTTCACGAGTCCCGACGGAAGTGTGGATCGGATGGTAATGCTCTGGGAATGTCGTCGTGTGGCATCACAATGATACGTTGCTCATGCTATCTACCACTGGTTTGTTTGACTCGACTATTTGTCGCAGTGAAGCATGGGTGTTGCGGACAGCGGCAAAAAACAACGAACAAAAACATTTTGTTCAATGTATAACAATAATATGTTTTTTCTCTTACGCAGCATACAGGAGGATATCACAAAACTCCGTGTGGGAGACGTTCACGACTAAACTAGTGGCATCTGATGTTAAAAAAGATGATGTTCATGACATGCGCAAAATTTTCACAAAATTACAAAGGGTACTTACATGGTACATCATAAACGAATTATAGTAACCGTGCATACAATCTTATAAAAATCAGATCTTAGCTCTCGCTACCGCTAAACAAAGATCTGAGGACATCCCATTACGGGTCAAGTCAGAACGACCTTTCATGAAACCAATCAGAGCGTCGCTTACAAGATCATGAAAGTGACAGTCGGAATGTGATTTCTATTCATGCAACCTCAAAAAATTTAACACATGTTATTCCGAACGATAGTTTAGGGCTTAACGACTGAATCCATACAATCTAGACCATCAATTAGCCATTCCAGAATGTTCTTTTGTTCAGGTTTTCACATTTTTAATCGAGTATTCGTCAAAATATGTTTCAGGGGCGGCCGGTAGCTTAGTGGTTAAAGCGTTCGCTCGTCACGCCGAAGACCCGGGTTCGATTTCCGACATGGGTACAATGTGTGAAGCCCATTGCTGGTGTCCCCCGCCGTGATATTGCTGGAATATTGTTAAAGCGGCGTAAAATGATACTCACACACTCAAAATATGTTTCGAAGCGTAGTCGCCAATTTGAAATTAGTGCCGTAATGAACGAGAAAGCTGCCCTCTGATTGGCTAATGTCAACTTCTTGTCAGTCATTCCATTGGTCGATCAAAGTTCGCGCAAGGTCGGTCTGACGTGACCCGTAATGGGGTGTTCTCAGATGTTTGTTGAGCGGTAGCGAGACCTAAGATCTGATTTTAAGGAGATTGCAGTGCATATGAAGCGGAAAATGTGTCTGAAGCGTTATTAAAATACCAGCAATCGTTAGAAGACAATAGGTTTGGAGAGGTCACAGCAGGTTTATTCAATAACATATCTATAAATAGCGAAAAAAAGAATGAACAATATCACAAAATCTGACTATGTGCGTTAAAACTACCTTCAAGTGCAGTCTTTCATCAGTAAAATTTAAAAAAACAACATAAACAAAGCAAAATAGAAAAAAAGAGAAAACGTAGAACTTTATGGATAACAATTTCTTGTTTATTGCATAAAGCGACGTTTCGATGTAGATTCTTACACCATTATCAAGCTGAAGTGACAACAACCAAGTGATGAGAGGTATGTCTAAATGATATGTTGTGATAAGCAGCAGATTATAATTTTATATACCTCTCATCACTTGATTGTTGTCACTCCAGCTTGATAACGGTGTAAGAATCTACATCAAAACATCACTATATGCAATAAACCAGAAGTTGTTATCCATAAAGTTGTACGTTTTCTTACTTACTCACAAACTCCTAGAATGCAAATCAAACAGTACATAACCATGGTTTGTATAATGTATAACGTACAGTACAATTAGTTGTGCCCTATTACATAACCATGCTTTGTATAATGTATAACGTACAGTACAATTAGTTGTGCCCTAGTACATAACCATGGTTTGTATAATGTATAACGTACAGTACAATTAGTTGTGCCCTAGTACATAGCCATGGTTTGAATAATGTATAACGTACAGTACAATTAGTTGTGCCCTAGCACATAGCCATGGTTTGTATAATGTATAACGTACAGTACAATTAGTTGTGCCCTAGTACATAGCCATGCTTTGTATAATGAATAACGTACAGTACAATTAGGTCTTACAAGGAAAAGTAAAACCTACAAGAGGTTATTACAAGATAGGAAAATACCTACAATACTATAAGCAAAAATGGCAGTAGGTTTATAAGACTTCCTCACCACAACATTCTTCACCCTTGTACCCAATGCATCTCGTGATTTTATTAGCTAAGTAACAAAAAATGTGAACTAGTTAAAGAAGTACTTCAGATAAGGATCATGATCCCGTGTGTAGTCAATACCTTCTTCAATCAGCACTGATGGCGAAATCTTTTTGTTCTGCAATCACTTTAACCTTGGAAGCTGTATAACTCGTGTAAACGGATCCTGTGAGGATTCTCATAACACAGTCTCCTGCCTCGTGCCTTTACACACCTGTCTATGACGCCACTCGAGGACTGATGGTCCCCCAGCACCGTGTAGCACAAAGCCAGTAACTTATACGCCTCAACTAGCTTGACATCCAGCTGTAGTGCTTTCTGTAGGCGGGGTATGGCCACGTCAAACTGTCGGAATCGCATCAACCAGTCCGCCTCGTAAGTCAGTATTGTTGCATTGCTACCGAGGGGGATGGTTGCAGCTATCTTCTCCAACTGATTTTCTGCCTCTGCGTCAAGGGTCCGTTTTAGGACCTTCCTTTTCCCCGATCTAAACACTTCTCGGAATCCAGTGTTAACAAACTTTCTGTCTGTGTTCATAACGAGATAATTGTAATGTTTCTTGGTCACCAAGAGTTTCAAAACATACGGGGTATTGTACACAGAAACAAATTCTGAGGTGTCGCTGAAAGTACTCACAGTCACATTTGTCTTCTTTCCGAAGACATTCACAGCGCAAAGATTCTTCCTTGTATCGTAACTGAATTCATAAAACTCATAATGGATGAGTCCAAGTATTGGAACATTTTGATGTAACACAGTGTAGCCTCCGCCCATGTGAACCATTTGGTCCGTGAAGACACCTGTGACGTCATTCTGTTTACTGACGTAATCAAAACATGTGATGACGTCATGAGATTGTGTGTTCCCTGTGTAAGTCCATGTCTTGTTTGACTCGTCGACAGACGAGGGGAACACGCGCCACTGACTCAGTATATACAGGACAACCACCATGAATATAAACCCCTGACTAGTTAGGCCATATTTCATGGTTCTCAAGTACTTGGCACTGATATAAAAACAATACGAATAGCCAATAAAAGCTAAGACTAGATAATTATGCATAAAGCGTAGTTCTTTGTGCCCTTTAGCAGAGTAAAGCAACATGAGTATGACAAGGGAGGCAGCAAGTTTGCTGATGACCCGACATCTATGTCTATCTAAATGGGATAGTGATGTATATACCAGTAAATTAACGCCTATTGTTCCGAACAAATAGGCTGTGAATAGCATCAAACATGAACTCTGCCCAATCAAATTCTTTAAATACCATGTAAACTCCATCCTTCCGAAAACAACTGCTGCATAGTCTTGAATCACGTTGAACTGAAACCAATGGTAAGGGGAGATAACTCCCACTCCATATGAACTGAAATCATCCAAAATACAAACTGTAAGTCCTATGACTGCACCAACAATACACGAAATAATTTTAGATCTCTCAAGGCATTTCCAGTTAATATGAGGAAGTGACGTCACGACTACAAATAGAGATGCATCTACTCGTATGTAGCAACATATCACTAGAATGAAAGATGCAAGAGTTAGCTCCCTTTTGTCATGGTCACGTTCACAATGTTCAGGCTGTGGTCGTGGATGCTTCGTAATGATGTTCATGTTGGAATCTTTTTCCACCGACATTTCATTGACAAGATTTAACTCTGGTTTACTACAAACACATTCATCAGTAACATCGTTATCTTTCTGAATCACTGGTTCATTTGGCCGAGAACGAGACGAATTGTTTATTAAAGATATCCCGGTTGTCATACTTTGGACTATGGCTGCAATAATAATTCCGGGACAGTTTGCAAATCCTTTCGTGATGCCATGTATTCCCCCGTCGCCATGTTTAAAGCCAGGACACAAACCACTGCTCCTCTCATAATAGCACGTATTCTCAGATCCCGAGCTTTCTCTGGTTTTCTCATGGCAACGTACGAGTTTTGTGACGTAATGGAGGTTCCCAGTACAATCTGCAGACGACTGGACTTTTGGATCTTTCTTCAGCGTTGGCGAAACACAAAAACAGTTTTTAAACAGAAGGTATAACCCACAAAATAACGGTGTGGCACAGAAGCTGTTGATGAGGGTATGTGTGCCAAACACGGACAGATGTGTACTTCCGGCTGTCAGTATGGCCGCCAGGACACCACAGTCATGTGACCGGAAGAGGAGTCGGGTGAATTTGTAGACAGCCAATGGGAGACAAGATGACACGATAGTGTGAACTACCTTCCATAGCTGCGAACATATAAAGTAAGCGAATAAGGGAAGTGTGAAAGCGGTGTTGGTAATAATGTAAACTAATATATTTCTCTGAGGCAAATGAATAAGGTGAGGTGAGGTGAAATTTGGTTTAACGTCGTGTCCAAGATTATTGCGCTTATATAGCGACGTGCATGTACTTGTGTGTGTTAGGCTGCTTGTACTAGTCCGCGCCGGGCCGATGCCGATTTATAGTGCTAGCTTACTGAGATACCATGCCGCAGTTTAACATGAATACCCCACACATACACAGTATACTGACACCGAGCCGACCTTAATGCCGAGCGCCAGACAGGGCAACAACAAGTACCATCTTTTAACGTCTTTTGGTTTGACGCGGTCGGGGATCAAACCCCGTACCTTCCGCTCTCCGGGCGGACGCTCTACCACTAGACCACGGAGGCGGTCCAAATGAATTAGGATAGTGTCAACACAGTAAATTAATTTCGTCACTCTCCCTTCTATTTGATAGATACCCTGGATTTATTCGCTACCACATCGCCGTTTGAGAACTGACGTTACCATCGATTCATCTCCTTTGCGCCGAATTACTCTGGCTGGTGAGAGTAGCTTCACTGGATGGCTATTTTGGCGTCCTGCTATTCGAATCATGCTCAAAATGAAGCCATGGAGCTAAATAGGTCCAGTGCATTCTCAGAACAGAAAGAACTGTTTGTTTGCTTGCTTGTTAGTTTGTTTGTTTGTTTTCCTTTTTGTTTAAAGCCTCACTCAGCAGTATTCCAGCTGTGTGGCGGCGGTTCGTAAACAACTGAGTCTGGACCAGACCATCCATTGATTGCTATCATGGGCATCGTTCTACGCATTTGGGGTACAATGACATGCATCAACCACCCGATCCCGTTTTGCGCCTCCTACGACAAGCATGGGTTGCTTTTTTTCACCAATTTCTTCATTTGGGATAGAATACACTAGACAACCGAGAATATGTTTTGTCATATATCGTTTCCTTCTCATGTATCCATTTAAAACAAGTAAATTGGTAAACAGCAACACATTCATGTTCTTTCGTTCATAAAGAATCGAACTCAATACGTAAAATAATCTGTAAACAGATATAATATTCAAAAAGCCAAACAATCCTCAGTTGTGTCCTTACCAAGAACGGTGTCCCCTGATAGCCGAGCCCCTCCATCAGCACCGCTACCATCATGAAGAAGCGCGGCAGCAGGAACGACCTCATGCTGTGCATCCCCATCTGGTGCTCACTGTAGCGCACCTGGGTCACGTTCAGATCCCCGGGGGGTGGCAGATACTCGTGGGTGCGGAATCCATATCCGTACACCTCGGAGTGGGCCACTGTAAGTATACAACACAGAATGAGTGCACCGTCAAAAAGAACTTTAGAGAGTAAGGAACGCTGTTGACATGTTGATATCCTTATGCAATATGGTCAGGAGCTAATACAGTATGTAACCATTGGTTTGCCTCACATACAATGTGTAAATGTCTCGACAGCTTTATTTGCTATATTTATAGTTCTTTATAAGGCCAATGAAACTGTCCAGGGACACGGGTGGCCCAGTCGTCTAAAGCGCCGCGATTCGCTGTGCAGAGTTGCGTCCCTTGGGTACGCCAGATATCTATGATTGTGGGTTCGAATCCCGGTCCGCCCCGATTATGTTTCTAGGTTTGTCAGCACCACACCCGTGCTCGTGGGTTTCACCGAAGAGGTAAACGTCTGAGACCTGTATCACCTCGGGCTTTCCTCACACATTAAGCTGTCACGCCGTGATATAACTGCAATAATGTTAAAAGCGGCGTTAAACCCAAGTCACTCACTCACTTACTGAAACTTTCCAACTGAATTCTGGCACACATAAGGGAGCTAACTCTTCAGAGCGGATGGCGGTCAAATGCATGATACAGTATCTTTGTTCGGTTTCATTACATGGTTCAAATAAAAATGCATTATTTACATTTTTATGAATTTGACATTAAAATTTAATGAGATAGTTTGATATTGTTTACATCGTGCTGTGTGTTCATACATGGTGTTTTAAGGGATACTATAGGTTTATGAATATTGGAAGTACTGACGTGTTTTATTCAAATCATTCAAAATCCATTTCTGGCTGACTCAAATGTGGTTGTGTATGCCATTTGACGATTACTGTGATGACTCACAGGTCATATTTATACCTGGAACTATAACGGTGATGTCGAGGCATTTGTTCTCGGGTTGGTGGGGTAGCCTAGTGGTTCGCTCGTCACGCAGAAGGTCAGGTTCGATTTCCGACATGGGTACAATGTGTAAAGCCCATTTCTTGAGTCGCCCACCGTGATTGCGCGCGTGTGTGTGTGTGTGTGTGGGGGGGGGGCATCTGTGTCAGTGAGTGTTTCCACTGCGGTGGTCGATATCAGCCTGGGAGTACCTGTAGCCGACCGCAACCAATCACAGGTAACACAGGTAACACTGGTAACGCCTCAAGTCAATTACTGCTGATGTCAGTGAGTGTTTCCACTGCGGTGGTCGATATCAGCCTGGGAGTACCTGCAGCCGACCGCAACCCATCACAGGTAACACAGGTAACACCGCAGGTCAATTACTGCTGATGTCAGTGAGTGTTTCCACTGCGGTGGTCGATATCAGCCTGGGAGAACCTGCAGCCGACCGCAACCCATCACAGGTAACACAGGTAACACTGGTAACGCCTCAAGTCAATTACTGCTGATGTCAGTGAGTGTTTCCACTGCGGTGGTCGATATCAGCCTGGGAGTACCTGCAGCCGACCGCAACCCATCACAGGTAACACAGGTAACACCGCAGGTCAATTACTGCTGATGTCAGTGAGTGTTTCCACTGCGGTGGTCGATATCAGCCTGGGAGTACCTGCAGCCGACCGCAACCCATCACAGGTAACACTGGTAACACCGCAAGTCAATTACTGCTGATGTCAGTGAGTGTTTCCACTGCGGTGGTCGATATCAGCCTGGGAGAACCTGCAGCCGACCGCAACCCATCACAGGTAACACAGGTAACACAGGTAACACCGCAGGTCAATTACTGCTGACAATGCAACTCTGGAGGTCGGTAAAATAATTAATCGCCGCATGACATATTGATTGAAGCGTGAAAAAGTGTATGTACCAGATAAATGATACAAAACCTCGAGAGAAACAAAGCTGAGGGCCGCTCGTCGCTGAAGAAAGTGTTCACATGATAGCACAGGAGGTTATAATTTGTCTGTAACTCCCATACTGTAACTTCTGCGTGTATTTACGGGAGTCCACGCAGAGAGGGTGACAAACATCGCCAACAGGAAGGCGCGGTATTTGCGAAAAAGTTCACAGAAGTGAATATATATAACATGTGAAGACCGATTTCCCCCAGGTGAGGGGAAATAGAGTTTAACGTCCCGTCCAAGATTATTGCACCTTTATAGCGACGTTCATGCACGTTTTTGTGTGCTGCTTGTACTAGTCAGGGTTGATGCTGATTTATAGTGCTAGCACATTGAGATACCATGCCGCAGTTTAACATGAACACCCCACCAACACACAGTATACTGACTCCGAGCCGACCAGTCCTTGTTTTAGCCCCTTTAATGCCGAGCGCCAGACAGGGTAACAACAAGTACCATCTTTTAACTTCTTTTGGTATGAGGCGGTCGGGGATCGAACCCCGGACCTTCCGCTCTCCGGGCGGACGCTCTACCACTAGACCACGGAGCCGGTCTACTGTGTAATGAGAAACTGCAACTCCATGTTCCTTGAGTCGCCATGTCCACGTCCTGTTGTGAGATACTCACTGATATGGTGATTGTAATATCGCCTAGGGCCTATGCATCACCATGAAATAACATTTCGTGTTTGTTTCATTTTAGCAACTGTCAAGCATGGGCGTATACTTTCTTTTGCCTGTCAGTGTAGGTGGTGTGCATTAGTTCGGTACACAACTACCCCTGCTATAATACATCCCACTTCGAAAGGTGCATGAGGCGAAAAGTAACATCTGTGTCAAAAACAACATAAAAATAAATTAATGTATATGAACGTTAGTGTCAGAAACACACGTATAAATGTATATAGAAATTGCCATTCAATGTCAAATAAATGATATGAAATGATTTAAGGAGAATATGTACTCCCTGAAGGCTTCATCAAGCCATTACATGTTTATGTCTATATCACCGTTATAGCCTACCGAGGTATGTCAGTCATGCGGATATGTTGGTAAATAAAGCGGCCAGGGGGCGCCTCAGGGCAGGTTAGTGAGGCGTCAAATGGCTTTCATACCGAATGAATTGCAGGTTGCCCATCTACGAATTTTATTACCGTTAAAAGCGATAATCGATTTCTATTTGTTGTAGATCTCGCTGAGAGGACCTGTATCGTTACCAGTTTGGACGCTTTGGCAATTACATTGAAAACAAAATTTGAAACGCCTTAGTGAGTGAGTGAGTGAGTGAGTATGGTTTTACGCCGCTTTTAGCAATATTCCAGCAATATCGCGGCGGGGGACACCAGTGAAACGCCTTAGAGGATACTTAAAATGTATAATAATTATTTCCTTATACCTGTATCATTATACAATTATATTACCTGTATTATTACATAATTATATTACCTGTATTATTATATAATTATATTACCTGTATCATTATATAATCATATTACCTGTATCATTATATAATTATATGACCTGTATCATTATATAATTGTATTACCTGTATCATTATATAATTAAATTAACTGTATCATTATATAATTATATTACCTGTATCATTATATAATTATATTACCTGTATCATTATATAATTGTATTACCTGTATCATTATATAATTATATTAACTGTATCATTATATCATTATATTACCTGTATCATTATATATATATATATATATATATTTTTGCCTGTATTATTATATAATTATATTACCTGTATCATTGTATAATTATATTACCTGTATCATTATATAATTATATGACCTGTATCATTATATAATTATATGACCTGTATCATTTTATAATTATATTACGTGTATCATTATATAATTATATAACCTGTATTATTATATTATAATTATATTAATAGTTATCGCAAATGGATTGTGAACCTAAATTTTATAAAGAAAACATGTACTTTAAAGGAATGTATGATATGAGATTACTGAAAAATGGCTTTTATAAAACAGTGTTTGGTAAATGGTTGTTGGGTGTGGGGAGTACAGTGTTTGGTAAATGGTTGTGGGGTGTAGGGAGTACAAAGTGTTTGGTAAATGACTGTTGGGTGTGGGGAGTACAGAACGTTTGGTAAACGGTTGTGGGATGTGGGGAGGACAGTGTTTGGTAAATGGTTGTGGAGTGTGGTGAGTACAGTGTTTGGTAAATGGTTGTGGAGTGTGGTGAGTACAGTGTTTGGTAAATGGTTTTAGGGTGAGGAGTGCACAGTGTTTGGTAAATGGTTGTGGGATATGGGGAGTACAGTGTTTGGTAAATGGGTGTGGGGAGTTCAGTGTTTGGTAAATGGTTGTGGAGTGTGGTGAGTACAGTGTTTGGTAAATGGTTGTGGAGTGTGGTGAGTACAGTGTTTGGTAAATGGTTGTGGTTTCGCTCATTCAATCAGTTATAATTATTAGGGTATTAGTTAAAGATAACAACGAGATGGTTTTCGTGTTTATGTCAAACTGATTTCTCAAAGCTGTGTCACAACTTAGGTATTTCCCACGCTCTTGGTCTAGAAACTTCACAATGTCTGCATGACAAATATCAAACTCAGTGCATGTAGACAATATGTCATGTATCAAATTGTCATGGTTGCTACTCATGATCATACTATAGCCGTTCTGCTCTAGTAGATACTCTATGCAGGACTTACTAGTGCAATGTGCGTGAGTTAACCTATACAGTGTGTTCACAAATATATTACGAACAAATTTCGCTAAGACGTGACACTAATGTTTAGGCACAGATAATAACAGTGCACCAGGACTCACCTATCCACCTCCGAAACAGTGTTCCTTCAAGAAGTTTGCTATTTACCCTTTCAAGGGACAATATGTGAGCCCTGACAGATACAACCAATCATCCGCCAGTCACACATCGGGTCACGACAACTCGTCAACAAAGTCAACTCAGATCACACGGAAGATGACGAATCTCCTCATCTAACGCTACTTGGGTGTCAGTGTTCTGATCTATTCACCTGTGAAGGGAAGCGGATCTCTTCATCGTACACGCAGGTCAGATGTAGATGGTGATCAGTCTTCGTGAGAACAAGCTGGCACTCATGGAGGAAACCAGCAAGGGGCTCGACACTGATATTCGGCGGGTGGGGGGTAATTTAGAAAAATAAATGGTGCCAGAAAATACTGGACAAAATAATTTTGAAGAAATAATAAATTTTGAAAGAATAGAAAATAGGTATGAATCTGTCCCTGAGACAACCCCCCAACCAACCTCCCCTCCATTACTGATGTAAGTATTATCCTGATAAATACCACACCATTTTAACAGCTCAGTGTTTCAGTAATAGAGTATACCCATGCCTTGAAGCAGTAACCGAAGAAACACAACACTTCCACCACCTCCACCGGAAAATTAATTGGAAGGTTGACCCCTAACATACTCCAAGGTGGCCCAAAATAAGTATCGTATTTCACAACGGTAAATCTACAATGTTAATGAGCAGAAGTTAACGAGATAGATCATTATCTACAATCCAGTCCACAAAGTGTTCCCGGGGTCGATTTTTAAGTAGGAATATTATGTGAAACCCATTGTCATATCAGTCGCTGGGATATTGCTGCAATACCGCGAAAGACATGTAAAACACAATTCACACTAAAGCTCGACGAGTCTTTAACAATAGGGTTATTATTAACCGACTGGTGTTTTCAATAGCGGCTATGATAAGACTTCTCATCCTTCTACAGTGATCGTTTTTGCCACTTTCGCGGGTTGCTTACATTTCAGTTTGTAGTTGGATCATTGTTGAGTAGAATTTATCTACAAAATGTCCTTGTTTGTTTAGTTGTTATGTGAGACGAAAAGTCCAAGTGTCACCGCAAACCCGTCATGAAAAACACAATTCTGGGTTGATGACACACTACCACACTTTTTATTTCATTCAACACCATTCTTGTATTGTGTTGAAGGTAAGGTTTGTAATGAACATTTTCCGAGCGGTGATGGTCCTGTATTCAACTGTATCTTTACAGATGCTTCATCAGTCAGCAGTACAATGTCACATTTCATCCCTTTCATAAAACGCATTCCGTAACGATAACCAGTGGTATTATGATCATAGAAGGCCATGTGTCTATTGATCACGGTCACTCGGCAGAACACGATCTAGATGGGAGTTTTCTTCTTCAACGACATTTAGTTTATATACAAGTCTGTTTCAAAAGCCCTATAACAAGCACTCACACATCATTTAATTGATGCAGCCTCTGAAAACGACGTTACCCCCTGTCAACTACGGTGAATGGCCATGATTGGGGGATGTGTCATGTGTTGGAAGACACGCACTCGACTCAGCATGACTCAATAGACCTATACGGAGAGATGTCAAATTCCTGAACAGGAGGGCACTCTAATTATGAAGCTCTTCGCAATAATGGCTTCAAGGGTGCCATCGAGAAGCATTTTCAAAATGTGACCTTATACTAGTATCAGGTCAAGCTCAGCTATTTGGGTCAACCGAGACACGATTGTACAGACAAGAGCAGCGGGATATGTTATAGTGATAATAGGTAGATGAAGGCTCAAACAGCATGATTGACGGGCAGATAGAAAATGGAAAGCTTAACAAATCTATATTGATAGTTTATGGAATATATGTGTCATGTCTATATCACGTTACTTTAGTTTTTAATGAATTCAGTTGGGTATGGGTGTTGTAAGAATCTTAATTTCACCGGGCGGAGTTGTAGTTCTTTGTAGTGCTGGCTTTCGGTTCGAATCCAATCGTTACCATAATGTTCCTTGGTTCGTCAGCACCAAACCCATTAAAGTGTTAACGTGCTTCACTTCGATCTTTGTACGACAGTAAGCTGCCACGCCATGATGTACAATAGAGGCTAGAGCGACGTTAAACACCAATACATTCACCACTCTGTACCCTCTCTACTTTTCAACAAAAAGACAAGATAATACCACTTCAAATACGACACGAAAACCAAATATTTACTGTGTGGTAAATTAATCGACACTTCATTGATCGAGTTTCAATAGATATAAATAAGAAAAACATGTATCACCAAATATAGCACGATTAGCAAATGTTTACTCTGCAATCTTTTAAGTGTACTGTTCATGCATCAACATCATGTAACCAAGGCAAGTACTTGTATCAAGTTACATGAGCATCACATACTCAAATGGAATTCATCAAACAGACACAGTAACAGTCAATGCGACCTGAAGAAGACAGCATGTCAACAGAGAGTAAGTCAATTCATATTTTCAGTATACTGAGATTAATTAAGCGGATAAAGTATTCATCTCTAGTCATGACTTGCTGCCAATCACAGGCAGAAGAAAGCATTGTGGAGTTTCACCCAAGCTGACATCAATAGGTAGCATTGAACTATGTGCATCAATCGGGTATCCCTAATCCACTTGGGTGTTTGTTCTCCCATAGCCATGATGGCGTGGTGACTTCAATAGAGTTCATGTAGTATGGGAGGGGTGAGATCGTGACGTGTTGACAAGAGAGTAGCTCAATACACACAGTTCCCGTATTGTATTGCTTTGTCAAATATTTGATGACCTGTGTAATTACATATTTGTTGTATGTCGGAGAGCACTCTTAAAAGTTTATCTTGTTTGGAGGAAACCAAATGTTTCATTCTTTTTTATCCTCAACACATTTTTTTCAGGACTCCAGAATCAACAATCTGGTTTAATGTGAGAGAAGGGAAGAGACACAGGTCACAGATGTTGCATACTTTAGTGAGTGAGTGAGTTGGGTTGAACACCGCTTTTAACAGCATTCGAGTTATATCGTGGCGTGTCAGGTTAATGTGGGAGGAAAGCCCGAAGTGATGCAAGTCTCAGACGTCCACCACTTCAGTGAAACCCATGAGCACGGGTATGGTGCTGACAAACCTAGAAACATAACCGGGGCGAACCGAGAGTCGAACCCACAATCATAGGTTTCTGGTGTGCCCAAGGGACGCAACTCTGCACAGCGAATCGCGGCGCCTCAGACGATTGGGACTCTCGTGCACCCGCACACTTTAGTGTAACTCACGAGCAAAAGGTATGGTGTTGCTAGAAAATATATGAAACATAATTTGTGGAATCTGGGATTCGAAACCACAAACTTAGGTTTCTGGTACTCTAAGGGACGCAACTCTGCACGGCGAATTGCAGCGATATAGACGACAGAGCTAACCGTGTAGAAGTAGTCGAAGTAGCGGTAGACGTTCGAGTAGTAGTATGAGACTGATTTGACGTAGTAGTTGTAGTAGTAGCCGTAGTAGTAGTAGTAGTAGCAGTAGTAGTAGTTGTAGTAGTCGTAGGAACAGAAGCAGCAGTAGTAGTAGTGGCCCTCGTAGTAGTAGTAGTAGTAATTGTAGTAGTCGTAGCAACAGCAGCGGCAGTAGTAGTAGTTGCAGTGGTAGTAGTAGCAACCCCAGCAGCAACAGTAAGGTAGTAGTAGTAGTAGTAGTGGTAGTAGTAATAGTAGCAGCAACAGCAGCAGCAGCAGTAGTAGTAGTAGCAGCAGCGGTAGTAATTGTAGTAGTCGTAGCAGCAGCAGTAGTATTAGTAGCAGTAGTAGTAGTTGTGGTAGTCGTAGCAACCCCAGCAACAACAGTAAGGTAGTAGTAGTAGTAGTAGTAGTAGTAGTAGTAGTAGTAGTAGTAACAGCAGGAACGCTTACTTAAATCAATCGACACACGCAGTAATGGCTACATCAGAAGAACCTACCTTCCAGCGACTGGAAAATCTCATCCGGATGAAGTATCCACCAGTTCCTTGGTTGACAGACATAATTCACCCGGACGGCCATTGTCACGGCGCAGACGACCCATGGTGAGAAACGCGGGAAAATATCCTCTGCCCATGTGACATCGCCGACATCAGGCAAGGACGGGTTCAAATTGACATCCAATTTGGGCGTCGTTTCGCTTGTTAGTCCGCCGTGTTTTCCATTTGACTGCAATCGGTTCCTCTCCCGTCGATGTACTCGTTGTTTCATTGTCTTGTCGTCCGATACTCAAGTCTGAAAGTTTGACTATGAAGTCCTTGTCTTCACATCCTTCCAAGGCGTGTACCTGTAGAATATAAACAGAAACAGGTAACTCTCTGTTTACGGGACTCAGTAAATACAGACTTATGACAACACACTATTAGATTGTTACCATGGAAACCTGACATAATGTTAATGTTGTAGACTGCACCAGTGCACTTCTCACAGGGTCACCTTGACCCCCCTAACAAAGACTTCATTATGGCAACATCCGGACCTCTATCATTCTCGGGATACTAGTGATACAATGGTTTTGTTTGTTTATTATTTATATTGTAATATTCCAGCTGTGTGACGTCGGTCTGCAAATAATCGAGTCTGGAAAGACAATCCAGTGATTGACATCATGAGCATCGATCCACGCAATTTGGATACGATGAAATCAATCAAGTCAGAGAGCCTGGCCAGTCGCCTCTTACGACAACCATAGTCACCTTTGACGGCAATCATGGGTTGCTGAAGGCCTATTCTCTACCCGGATCTTCACGGGTCGGTACTATGGCATGCCATGGGATAACATGGATATGAGGGATCTAGGGATGATGTGGGATACATAGTCTTTCCCAGAATACCCACAGAGCATTAACGTGAGGACATGTGACTGTTCCGGTTCTTGACAAATGCATCAGCATATGTAAAGAAATATCGCAATGAAAGAATAAATAAATATGTGTTATATTGATGGCGTCAAACAATATTCACTCTGATGAATCATATACATTCAGTAACCCCTGTCAGTGCTGTTTCATTAAAGTACCAGCATCTGTTACGAAACGTCGCATTGAATCAATAAAGAAACTGAAACCCATTAGTCAACGCTTTCTTCTCGTATATCACGGCGTGTCTGCTTAATGTGGGAGGAAAGCCCGAAGTGATGCAGGTCCCAGACGTTTACCACTTCGGTGAAACCCACGAGCACGGGTATGGTGCTGACAAACCTAGAAACATAATCGGGGCGAACTGGGATTCGAACCCACAATTATAGGTTTCTGGCGTGCCCAAGGGACGCCACTCTGCACATATCATATGTCAGTCATATCAAAACTGGCTATATAATTATGTTAAAAATACCATTTCCCTCAGAAACAAATTGTTAAACATGAGAATATATCCAAATATGTAAAACTACTTATTTGTAACTCTTTTGTATAGGGGCCGGAGGCCTTACATGCAATAAATATCTTTGACTTGACCTTGCAAAGATGAACTTGTTTATATTTATTTGTTGTTTAAAATTCATATCTACAAATATAATCAAAGGTGTAAGTATGATCTTAAAAAGACATTTAAAACATTTGTTAGTAATTGTAATGGTTCGTAAATATATATTCAGTAAAATTGAGTTGTTTTAAACTGTTTGTAAATATTGGAATCACCATGTCTGGTGCCCCAACAACGTGCTATGCCACACGTCTGACCATTCACCGCCTCCAGTTGTTCTCGCGGCATGGGATATACCATGCATCAAGTAAGCCCTGGCTTTATCAACGTATGTGTGTCCATCTGTCTTAAATTACTCATCTGATGTTACTTAAGTATGTCATAGCTAAATGTGTTTTAGATTTTTTGTATCGTATTCTTTTTTGTTGTCTTTGCATATCAGCCGGAGGCCTTCCTGCAAATAAACGTGTTGTTCTTCTGTAGCTACATATGACGATCAACTGGCAGTACACCTGTCTTGGTTTATGATCATACAGTAAACTACGGTTATAACGAACTGACGGATAGAACAAACTATTTTTTCGTTCTGTCTATTTGCTGTATATATTCCTTACATTTGCTTATAACGAACTACGGTTATAACGAATTAAAATTAGTGGTCCCTTTGAGTTCGTTATAACCGTAGTTTACTGGATGTTAATACCTCGTCATTATTGAGTCATTCAAACCAAGCATCGGCTCCAACGCTGGGATATTTTTTTGTGGTATTACTCAATAGCCCAATAAAACCAAATAAATCTCTGGGCGACGACAATTGACAGAATGAATACCATACGTGCTTGACTAGACGGATTAACCAAACAGACACTCTTTGTCCACGCTGTTGCCAAATACTGTTACAAGTTTAAAACTAGGTCACTGGGAATTTGAAGTGTTGACAGCAAACCTTTCACGACATTTATCGTCATGGTTAGCACACACACAAATAGGTGTTGCTCATTTGAAACGAACAAAGTGGTACGGGGAATCACTGTATGTAGTTTAAATAGTTTGCCTGTGAATACATCATGTGTGGTCAAAGAGAGGTCGGAAATAGTCCCATATTTTGTCGTTCTGTGAGTGAGTTAGTTTGGTTGAACGCCGTTTTGAATAGTATTCCAGTTATATCACGGCGTGTCAGCTTAATGTGGGAGGAAAGCCCGAAGTGATGCAGGTCTCAAAAGTTTACCACTTTTGTGAACCCCACGGGTATGGTGCTGATAAACTTAGAAATATGGAGACGGGGCGAACCGGGATTCAAACCGAGAAACATAGGATTCTGTCGTGCCCAAGGGACGCAACTCTGCGCAGCGAATTCCGGCGCTTTCGATGACATCCACCCGAACTACTTTAAGACATTACATACAAGAGTCTACGATTGTAGCTATAACGTTGTCAAGTAATAAATCATTTTGAAATTATAACTGCGTTTTGTTAGTAGGAGGGGCACGGGTGGCCACGTCGTCTAAGGCGCCGCGATTCGGAGTTTCGTCCCTTGGGCACGCCAGAAACCTATCATTGTGGGTTCGACTCCCGGTTCGCCCCGATTATGTTTCTAGGTTTGTCAGCAACATATCCGTGCTCGTGGGTTTCACGGAAGTGGTAAACGCCCTAGACCTGCATCACTTCGGGCTTTCCTCCCACATTAAGCAGACACGCCGTGATATAACTGGAATAATGTTAAAAGCGGCGTTAAACCCAACTCACACACTCACTGTTAGTAGGAAGAAATATGGAAGCAGATAGCTATTTTATCCAAACGGACGATTTCTACACAGGGAGAAATCGACAGTAGCTTAATCTGAGCCGTCAAGAGGGTCATCTGTCAACCTGCTGACACGAGGCTTCTTGGCCTTTCACCTTTTCACCGTGATGACTCAGTCAGTCCTGTCAGGCTACACAGCACCGTAATCGATCTTATATTAATGCATAGCAGTAAAGGAACCGACAGCTCCACACATAGAAGCAGATGTTCATATAACTACTTGTTTTCACAAACACCAACCCATAAACACGTGTTCTTACGTGTTCTTGCTCTCACATAAATACATGACTATGTTGGTGCGAAACACACTTGCCGACGAATTCATTTTGGAAGTCTACAAAGGACATTAGTCAAAACCGAAAATTCGTTAATCCGGACATTTGCTAATCTGGATGATTTCAGGGGGAATTGTAAAGTTCGGATTAAAGAGGTTTGACATGAATATGATATCTGTTATCTCCCTTAGGAGTTCGCCTCAGTGTATCGAGATGCACCCTCACAATATCAGTACTCACGAGTGATGATGTACAGTTGCCTGGATGAATGTTCTACAGGTATTTGTGAATTGTTTTCCGTCACAGCAGTAACGACGTATCACGGTGAAAACGTGACCAGACTGCTGTATAACAATATACTGGAAGTAAATCAGCGGGTGATGAATAATGTAGGGAGACTTGATCAAGTATACAATAATCGTCTATTGTAACTGGCACGGCTGTGTGACAAGAATAGTATCATGTACTCTTCACAGCGGCCTACGTTTCTAGTCTCAACAATGAATAAATTTTACTGGACAGTACCACTCCTGTCGGTGAGCTCTGTTTCAAGGGCAAACATGCATATGATAATGACAAGCATGTACATAACGTATTGCAGAACTCTGATAACTAAAGTGTGGCGTGGCGTGTGGCGTGGTGTGGTGTGGTGTGGTGTGGTGTGGTGTAGTGTGGTGTAGTGTGGTGTAGTGTGGTGTTTTGTGGTGTGGTGTGGTGTGGTGTAGTGTGGTGTTTTGTGGTGTGTGGTATTTTAGAGGTGGTAATTGTTTGAAGTGGGAGTTGATTCGATAGCTACTATGTCTGCAGTTGATGTATCAACGATTTGTCCAATTATGTGTAAAATAATATCATATTTCTATATAAAGGACTGACGAGAGTCAGCAAAAAATCCCCATTTTCGCAGTACATCCTTAAAGCGTCAATACGAGGGTTGGTCAAAAACTTCTGAGCCTAACAAACAAAACCATCAATTGTGAAAGTGTTTTTAAAAAGAATTTCAACATAATCTCCCTGCTTTTCATTACACTTCTCATATCGATAGTGAAGTTTTCTGAAGCCACCCTGAGAAACCCATTCACGGCAGCTTTAAGGTCATCGTTGTCGTCATAGCGCTTTCCACGAAGGTGTTCTTTCAGTTTAGGAAACAGGTTAAAATCACTTGGTGTCAGGTCTGGCGAGTATGGGGGGCGAGGAAGCTCTTCGAAGCCACATTGTCGCAGAGCAGCCTTTGCACGTCCAGAGGTGGGAGATGAGGCATTGTCATGAAGCAGTACAACTCCAGCAGTCAGAAAATCCTCACCTCTTTTCTTTGATAGAATCTCTCAGGCGATGAAGCAAATCAGCAGAGTAGGCACCGGTAATGGTCTAAACATTCTAAGTAATCAACTATGATCACACCCTATGCATGCCAGAATACAGTGGCCACAACCTTCTTCACTGATCTTGAAGACTTGAATTTCCTTGGTGCCGGGGAAGTGGAATGGTGCCATTTCATGGATTGACGTTTTGACTTGGGATCATATTGGTAGACCCATGTTTCATCACTCGTTACTAATTTCTGTTTTAATTTGACGAAATCCTCCTCAATTAGCTCTTAACTTTCTCTGGCAATGTCAGTTCTATTTGCGTTAAGATCAGATTTTTTAAACTTTGGCACCAAACGAGCAGATATCTTCTTCATCTGTAAATGTTCATGAATAATAGTTTCAGTGGATCCATGGCTTAGACCTGTGTCTTTCTCAAGTTCAGCAATGGTAATATGTCTATCTGACAGTATAAGTTTTT